TTGGCATTGTTACTAGTAAGAATTTAATTGTAGAGCTCTCTAATTGAATTGTTACTAGTAAAAATGCAATTACGACGAGTAACGCTTGGAATATTTTAAGCTAAAACGGCTTGCCATACACAATGGACTAAGTTACTGCAATGCAATATACATGTTATGTGTTATCTCTTCAATGCATAACAGCTGAGTTAGTTCATTCATCGCATCACCACATCAGTTATGTGTTATCGCCTCTGCTCATGTTATTCTCACTACAAAAAAGATAAAATAACCTTAAAATAGGACCAACATATGATATAAACCTCTTGTTTTAGTTACAGGTATGCAAAATAGTTTCAAAATACATTTCATTATCAATGTAATTAATTTGACATTATTTTTATGTCTACATTTGTTAAAATATGCTTTGAAATGAGCAGCAGTAAATATATAACACTAAAATAATTGAATCAGCTAAATGAATTGAGCAGCTCATTACCATTTTTCTTAATGTGACAAATACGTCACATCAAAATTACACCTCCTGTTTTAAGGTTAACAGCCTGATGTGACATATATGTCACCACAATATTTTCGTAACTTGTTTTATGTTAATTTGTTCAAGAAATGTATTAAAATCAGGTTAAGTGTAATCTAGGATATGTTATTAAAACATTATAATTGTTGCATGGGTTAAAACATACCTTTAGTAACAAAAACAAGCTTTTTAAAAAATTGCTGACACTGCAACATGTGCTAACCAGACAGGCCACCATTTTGGAAATGTTGCCATGGCAACAAAAATGCACACATTGTCACATGACTGAACCTGTGTGTTCCTTATAGGTCACTTAGGGACTTCCTGAGTTGAAAGTGAGGGATAATGCTTTAAAAAGACCTTTCCAGATTTCCGTCACAGCGGGTTCTTATGGGTTAACAATGTTCTTTTGTTCCCGCTCTGGTATTTCTGTTGCGGTTGCTGCCGATGCACGACGGCTTTTCTCCCCCTTGTGTTGTAGTACTGCATCAATGCTCATAGGCCCGCTGCATGGTGCAGCCAGGACCTTTGTGTGCTGCACGGTTAATTCACTGATTTGGCATATTTTAATAGCTTTTGCAAGAGTTAAATCACTTTCTCTGAGCAACACTCTTCTCACGCTATCATTGTCTATGCCAAACACCAGTCTGTCTCTGATTAATTTGTCTGTGAGTGCACCAAAGTTACATGTTTTTGCTTTATTTCTTAGCGTAGGGGAGCGCGGGGCACAAAGTAATGCGGGGTTAGTTGTAACACACATGGTTTGAATATTTCCACACATGCTAGCATAACAAATTTTATGGTATTTACTAGTTGCCATATCAACACTATATAGAGAAAAAACTGTGCCAAAATTCAAAAATCTTTTCAAGATATCGCTGGACATTTATTTTACCATAGTAAAAGTACATTTCTGGCTTAAGTACATTTTTCATCTCAGTTTTTAGTATTTATTTAAAATGAGGCAAATCTGCTATTATTTTAATCTCCAATCTGTTATTGATCAGTTTAGATAGTTTTTTTTAATACGTCGCTAACTAGCAGAAGACACTAACCAATTTTAAATTCCAGTTGCGCAGATGGGGCACGTTGTAACACTGCGTTACACATGTAACCATGAGGAATAGGTGAATAAAGACTGACAGTCAATGTTTATGCTCAGAAGTGTATTATTTCAAGAAATATAAAGCACTTTTGCTCATTTATGTGGGTCATCCCAAGCATGGTTGCAATTTGTTAATTGTCAAACTCCAAAATCAGATCATTTTTATTTCTTAAAAAAACGCCATTATTTTATTTTAAAAATTAAAAAAATGTATTTTATTGACAAAATATTTTAGTTTGTCTTGTATGTTTTTTTCATTAGATCAGATAATATTTTAAGCTGTCATATGTTACAACGTGCCCCTCAGATGTTACAATGTAGCCCACCTCCGGGGCATGTTGTCCCATTACTGTGTTTACAAAATAACTGTGGATAAAAAAATTATGCTATGAACCCCATGTGGATTTATACAAACTGAGAAAGTCAAAAAGTGTTACATTGTCCCCCGCTCTCCCCTACTCACGTAAGCCTCGATGGTTTCTCCTGGTTTTTGATTTCTGGTGTTAAAGGGGTCATATGATGTTGCTAAAAATAACATTATTTTGTGTATTTGGTGTAATGAAATGTGTTTATGCGATTTAAGGTTCAAAAAACACATTATTTTCCACATACTGTACATTATTGTTTCTCCTCTATGCCCCGCCTTTCTGAAACGCATCGATTT